TACATCTTAGGAGAGGCACCTGCCCTCAATGCTTTTGCCAAAACCACCATCTGTGGACTTACATAATGTAATTCCCTTCAAGATATTCCCACAGCATTGCTCCTGATCAAGGAACTCATTGAAAAGCAACTAAAATGCAGCAATGGACTCATTGGAATTCATTACAAGGATTGACTGGGACTACAGTGAAAGAGCTTCTGTACAGGAGCTGACCCTATGGAGCAAGACTTGCTTCAGTAGGGTTTTGGTGCTCACTGAGCCCACCCCTTTAATGTGTCATTTGTGGTAGGGTTGTACTACTGCATGGTTTGAAGCTGACCACTGGTTACATTGGCTCTGGAGCCCCCTGGGAGATGTAAAGTCAGCCACTGTCTGTGCCCTGTCTTTGGCCACCTGGCACGACCTAATGAGCAATCTGCAGGTGGCTGCTACTTATGTTGGGCTTGTAGGTTCCCAGGAGAAGCCAATCTGTGAACCAAGGTGGGCTGCTGCTAATCCTGGGCCTAGGGCACTTATTGAGAGGTACAGGACTACTTGTTTGAGAGATTTTAGAAAAGTCTGAAGCATAAAGCAAGACAGGCCAGTTGTATGGAAAAGGTACTGTAAATGGCTTAGATGAGCCAGTCTCAATGTGCTTCTTCTTTAATTCCCTAGTTGTAGAACTTTGTTCAGTTACATTTCAGGTGTTTCTGAATGATGGTATTCTGTATTTTAGTTGTAATTTTGATGTTGTTGTGGGAAGTGGTGAGTACTGCATTTACATACCTGCCATCTTGACTGGACCCCCCTATTGTGCCAGTTCTTGTATCACTAGGATCCATGGGTCCAGGAAAACCATGTAAAAATGGGATGATTCCTTTCATTATTACTCACAGTGAGCCACTATTTGTTGAAGTTCAGTGTGGGGTACCAGTCACTCTTGGAGTTCATGCATGTTGACACTGATCTGCTGATGTATCTTGTTGGCTTAAGGCAGCAGCCAAGGTCACAGCTGCTCTAGCTCATGCTGGATCACCTTCTTCAGCTTCTCAAAATCCTAAGCCAGGTGTGTGTTCAGCTCTGAGGTAAGGAGTGAAAACTCCCTCTGTAGATCACCTGTGTTGTCGATGTTGGAGCTAGAGAGAGAAGGAGAGAGAGAGGGATAGAGGGGGAGAGAGAGAGGGAAAGGGAGGAGAGAGGGGGAGAGAGAAAGATATGAGGGCTCCAGTTTGTCCTTGATCTTCCCTTTCCATGTCCAATATTTCCTCCCATCTGCTAATCCCGAGGCTCTGCAGAAACTTCAGGCCAACAACAGACAAGGAAGGAACAGCCTTCCATAGAATTTCTCAACAGCTCCCACAGTTGTGTAAGGTGTTATCCCTGTAGTAAATCCCATAGAATGGTTCTGCTTATTTGACAAAGCCTAAGTGACACAGCATCCCTCCAACATCTCAGTGATTCCCACTTGGTCCCCTTAGTCATTTATGGGTTTTCAGAATTTTCCTGCTTTTCAGAAATTTTCTGCTTTTCATAAGTTTTCAAATTCACTGTCATCTTGATTCAGTGTCTTTTCCCTTGTCTATACCCTAAGTCAATCAAAATGTGGAACATCATATTTTTTTCCTTCATTTACTTCAAACACCACTCATAAAAGCATGGAATTTCATAAAGATGTTATGGTAAAAATGGCAGTTGCATTGAAGCAAAATCTTATAGCCGATTACTTAAAATTGAATGTTAGTTGCCCCTGATTGAAAAGTCCAGCTCCCTGGCCTTCCAACTGCCAATTTTCTCTTCCCCCTTGTTCTCTCATCTCTTTGTCTCTCTAATTTGCAATTTCTTCCTTGCTCCTGGCAACTGAAAATTCCTTTTATAAAAAATGTACAATTTAGCTCTCTCATTGTCTTGCCCTCGATCATGCTGTTGTGTGCTTTCCCTTTCATAACCAAAAAGCCCATCAGAGAAAAGACAAATTTCTCCTGAAGAGGAAGTTTACTGCCAGTGAAAAAATATAGTCTCCTGTCACCTCACCTCCATATCTTGAACTATCTTATAAGTACCGCGCGCTAACCGATTGCGCCACTGGAGCTCCATCTTGAACTATCTTATGTTAGATCTCAGTGGAAAGGGACACCATATTCTTTGTCATTCTGTCACAGATTTACTCTAAATCAATTTTATGAACCCAAAACCTTAAAAGAAAGATTGGCAAAATGAGTGTAATAGGAGATGTAGGTCCTACTAAGACAAATCTTTGAGAAAGTTTTGAATTACATGTAGTGTGTAAAAGCTGTGGGTTGCAACATTTTCCCTGGGGAGTTGTTTAGGGTGCCATTGTTCATAAATTTCAAGATTTATTCTAGAGCTTTCATTTACCAAGTTGGTATTTCACTTCTTAAAGAGTGAAAAGGAAACTCCAGGCTGTGCCTTTGTATGTGAAATTGTGGGCAAATTGTAGCATGTCATCCTCTCTTTTGGAGACATGTATATTTGCCAATTTTTAAATACATTTTAAGGGAGCGACAGAATTGTAGCAATTTTGTTTAATTCAGAGGACAGAGAGAAAATATAGAGGAAACTGAAGGAAGAAGGAGAATTATTTTTTAACTTATCAAAACATGAATTTAAGCACTTTATTTTAACAAAAACATGACTAGTTGTACTGATGTGAGTCTGCCATTATATCAAGAATTTGTATATAGTCTCATAGATTTTCAAATTGGACAGACTGCTAATGTGCCATTGCCACTTTGCTATTTTTGTGTTACTGGTCCAGAGCTTCATCACAAAGTTTTGAAATTTAACAAATTAAAATAAAAACTGAAAGAAAATATATCAAGTCAATATGTTGTACATCTTATGCTTAATGTATATCAAATATAACAATAAAAAAATAAGTGAAAGGGAAACTTATTTTATTGATATTTTAGAGAGAGAGAAAGGGAGAGGGAGAGAGAGAAACATCGATATGAGAGTGAAACATCGATCGGCTGCCTTCTGCACACCCCCTACTGGGGACCTAGCCCGCAAGCCAGGCATGTGCCTTATCCAGGAATTGAATCAGCAACCTTTTGGTGCAGCCCAACCAACTGAGCCTGCCAAGGCAGGAAACTTCTTTTTTTTTAGAAAATTAATTTATCTTTATTGTTGAAGTATTACAGATGTCCCCTGTTTTTTCCCCATTGACCCCCTCCACTCCGCTCCTGCTCCAACCCCAAGTTTTCCCCGAACAATTATCTGTCCAAAGATTATGCAAATATGCATATGAGTTCTTTGGTTAATCTCTTCTCCCATCCTCCCCCCTTTCCCTCTGACATATGTCAATCTGTTGTGTGCTTCAATGTCTCTGGATCTATTTTGTTGGTCAGTTTATTTTGTTCATTAGATTCTACACATGAATGAGATCATGTGATACTTGCTTTTTCTCTGACTGGCTTATTTCACTTAGCATAATACTCTCCACGTACCTCTATGCTGTCTCAAAGGGTAAGAGATCTTCTTTTTACTGCTGCATAGTATTCACTGCATAGTATCCACTGTGTGAATGTAGCACAGTTTTTAATCCATTCATTTACTGATGGACACAGGCTGTTTCCAGATCTTAGCTGTTGTAAACAAAGTTGCTATGAACATAGGGGTGCATTTATTCTTTCTGATTGGTGTTTCAGGTTTCTTAGACTATATTCCTAGAAGTGGGATCACTGGGTCAAATGTCAATTCCATTTTTAATTTTTGAGGAAATTCCTTACTGTTTCCCATTGTGGTTGTACCAGTCTACATTCTCACCAGCAGTGCAGGAGGGTTCCTTTTTCTCTACATCCTCACCAGTACTTGTTTGTTGACTTATTGATGATAGTCATTCTGGCAGGTGTGAAGTGGTACCTCATTGTCATTTTAATTTGCATCTCTTTGATAATTAGTGACATCGAGCATTTGTTTCTTATATCTCTAGCCATCTGTATGTCTTCTTTGGAGAAGTGTCTATTCAGTTCCTCTGCGCATTTAAAAAAATTATTAATTAATGACTTATTTTTATTCTTACTTGAGGATATTTTTTCCCATTGATTTTTAGGGATAGTGGGGGCAGGGAGGGAGGGAGGGAGAGAGAGAGATATGTATATAGAGAGAGACCAACATGAGAGAGACACATTGATTGGTTGCTTCCTGCTGGTGCCCTGACTGGGGGCTGGGGACCAAACCTACAACTGAGGTACGTGCCCAGAGAATAATGATGGGGCAAGAATCTCACTAATGATGGGGCAAGAATCTAACATGCACTGGCTCAAGTTTCCCCATTAGGTAGAATTAATGTGTTCCTGTCACTGCTCACCTGTGTCCTGTCTCTCTGGGCTTAAATCTAGCCACAAATCCCCATGCAGCTGGCTCAGTAGTGTCTGTTCTGTCTAATAATAACCATCATAATCATAGCATAGCTTACTTTGTACCAGGTTCTGTCCTAAGCATTTCAAACTCCAAGACAACTCTGAGTCAAATACAAGTACCTCCATTTTTTAAAAAAAATATATATTTCTTTATTGATTTCAGAGAGGAAGGGAGAAGGAGAGAGAGATAGAAACATCAATGATGAGAGAGAATCATTGATTGGCTGCCTCCTGCACACCCACTACTGGGGAACGAGCCCGCAACCCAGGCATGTGCCCTCGGCCGGAATCGAACCTGGGACAACTTCAGTCCGCAGGCTGACGCTCTATCCACTGAGCCAAGCTGGCTAGGGCGGTACCTCCATTTTATAGATGGGAAGCCTGAGGCACAGAGAGAAAAAGTAACTTGCTAAGTATCACATGGAAAATAAGCTAGTAAGTGGCAAAGCTGGGGTTCTAACTCAGGTAGTATGCTCTGCTACTCTCCAAGTGGGTCCCATGACCTGGAGATGCCTGAAGGGCTGGGGGTTTGGGGAAGGGAAGGGGGATAAGTCATTTATTTAATTAGTTAATTAATATATTTTTATTTTTTAGAATAAACACCTTTATTACATGAGCTAAAGTAGAAGGGAAGAGGATTTATTTGCCTTTCCGGGCCTTGATTTTCTTCAAATAGAACTCCAGCTTTTTGCCCTCGAGCACATAGCCATCTGCTGGGCCACACTGGCCTGGTCTTGAAGCGATGCATGCAGGAAGCTTGCCCTGCTGGAACTGCTCCTCGAGGAGATGGCTGATTTTGGTGTTCTTTTTCCTTTCATCAGATTTTTTTCTGAATTTTGTTTGATCGTTTTTGTTCAAAATCTCTTCCTCTTCAGGAGTCAGCTTGGCCCCCTTCTTGCGGCCCACGGGCAGTGCGTAGTGGGACTCGTACCACTGTCCGCACGGTGTGCTATCAACGGGCACGATGCTGTTCTTTACTAGGGTCTTGGTGCGGACCAGTTCGTTGTTGGATGCTTTGTAGACAACGTCAATAATCCTTGTTTTGCGCGTACAACACTGGGAACCCCAGGGGAAGCTGCCTACGTCCAGCCTCAAGGCCCGGTACTTCTTGTTGCCTCCGTGCACTTGGAGTGTGTGTATGCAGCCGGGCCCAATCTTAGGGTTGGCAGCAGGGCATCCCAGCTCATATTTTCGCTTCTTGTGGTAGGGCTTCCTCTTGCCCCTGGTCTTGCAGCGCTTGTGCCAGTTGTCTTGAGAGATACCCATAGCTCAGTGCCGGCTGGAAAGAGTGGGGATAAGTTTTTGGTAGTCCATTTTGGTGTATGGTTCAAGCTACATTTACTAACTGAGCTTTAAGCTTTATACTGTGTTTTAATTTTTAAGCTGTTTATAAATTCCTGTCTGACTCCTGTGTTTACTTTTCAATTGGTTCAGAGTTGGACAAGAAAAGATTTGTAAACTACTGTCTCCCTTAGAAACTCCAACACTAACATGGTCCGATTTCACTGAAGTAGGATAAAAAATTAGATAGCCTGGGATACTAATTAGGCTGGATATCCCGTCCTTCCTTCCTTCCGGATGAAGCCGGGGCTGCGAGGGAAGCTGAGGTCCTGGGTGCCTGCTGGCGGCCAAAGGGAAGCCGGTGCCGGCAGCTGGGGGAAGGAAGACCTACTCTTGGATGAATTATGTGCATCGGGCCTCTAGTGCAGCTCTAAAAAAGGATCTCTTACCCTTTGAAACAGCAGGGAGGGACCTGGAGACTATTATGGTAAGCGAAATAGGCCAGTCAGAGAAAGATAAGTATCACATGATCTCACTCATCTGTGGAATCTAATGAACAAAATATACTGATGAACAAAATAGATCCAGAGACAGAGAAGCATAGAACAGATTGATGAATCTCAGAGGGAATGTGGGGGATGGGGTGGGGAGAGATTAACCAGGAAACTTATATGCGTATATGTAATACTTTCAACAATAAAGATTATTTCTGCAGTATAGATTCCCCAAAGCAAAATTACCTTGTCAAATAATCTAGACATTTTTAGGGCTCTTGATAAATTGCTTTTGGGAGAGTCATACCATAATAACTCCTCTATTCCCTACCCCAGAAACATAAGAAGGTGCCCATATGCTGTTGGTATTTTTACATTTTATAGCTGAACATTTTGGAGCAGGTAAGTAGGTGTTTAAGTTGGTAAATAATCTTTCTGTCCAACTCCAAATGAACTGCTTTCCCATACACAGCACTATGACTACTGAGAACTAACAGGAAATATGACAAGATTGGCTTTTGGCTCAGGGCCAGGTGCCCTAGGGATAGAGCTGGGGAATAGGGGATGGGCTGGATTCAGGCTCAGGGATGCGAGAAGGGCCACAAACACCTTCTCTCACAGGCTCGGGACCATCCAGCCATTTCCCTGACCACACCTCTCTAGTCTGCTGTCAGCTGGCTTTCACATTCCTAAGTTTAACCTTGTCAGGCTTGATGATCAACAAGGTTGCAGTGAGTATTCATAGAAATTGGTACAGAAGTTAATGTCCAGATCCACGTGAAACGCAGGCAGAAATGAAGACAGTGACACTTACCAACCTTGACAGAAGGGACAAAAGCCTAAACTCTATACGGAAATGTTTGTAGCTCTCATCACTGTGGTGCTGCATATCGCAGACAATACGCGCACTTTAAAATCACAGGATCTAAGCATTATGGAAATGACAATGACAGCCTCAGGAGAGCTGTGGTCACTGTGGGGAGGTGGTTAGAAACATGCACTGCTTTTCGGCATCCTCAGGATAGTTCCTTGGTTTTAGGAACTTTCTTCTGTAAGTTTGTAAGATATGTCTCAAATTCTTTCTAATTCTTAGTTCCTAAATATTTATAAGTGGAAAAATGAAAGGAGCAAAGCGAACACAAATTTTACACATTATTTAAAAATATTTTCTGAAAAATTATGGGACACACTCATATCACCTAAAAGATCATCTCTATTAAGGCGTGGAGAAGAATAGATAAATCCACAGTATGCAAAGTGAAAGAAATTTCCCTTAATGAATATTTAAAACATGCTCACTAGAAAATTTTCAGTTTTCTGGCTTTAGTTGGTTTTGGGTGCTTGGTTTTGTAGGTCATATGTGGAATGGTGTTCTTTTTTGCTTCACTAGGTATGAACTTGTATTATTGTAGCATCCAACCCAGGACCAGTGAAATACTTTTAGGGGCTCTCCAGGCCTACCTCTAATTAGAATTGAGCTTGCACAAGATAAGTGGCTTCTAGAACCTTTACCTTATCTATTGCCTGGAAATGGTTAGGAGGCTATTACCAAAAAAGGAAATATATTAAGAAAAAAGATTAGTTGAAAATGCATTTTTTACTCAATGGAGAAATAACTTCTAGATAATTATTACGACCAATAACAATACCTATTATTGTCCATACTGCTTCATGGGATGTTAACAGCAACCCTGTGAGTAGACATTACGTCTATCTATATTTAATAGATAGGAAACTGAAGTTTGGAGAGGTTTAGGTGACTTGCTCATGGCTACACAACTAGTGAGTAATGAAGAGAGATCTCAAGCCTAGATCTGAGATAAAATAATTTGCTTTTTGTTACTTCATGTTCCCTTGATTTAAGCTGGTTGTATTATTGAAGTAGTCTTGCTTGAATATTATTTTATTTAATCATTATTATGCTTTACCCAAAAGATGAAGGGATTTGGTTTTGCAGGTCAAATATTAGCACGTGTTTCTAGCTAAAAATTAAAAAGCCAAAAAGTGTGAAAGTAAGACCCTAAGCTTTGACCATTAGGATGTGAAAACAACAGTCTAGTCAAAATTCAATGGGGTAAAAGGAGGACAATGTGTCTGGTAGGAATGCGTTTGGCTAAAAGTAATAGAAAAATAGAAGAATCTGACCACAGTGCCTTAACCAAACAGGGATTTATTTATTTTTCTCATAACAAGAAGTCCAAAGGTGGACAGTCCAGGACTGGGAAGCATCCCCACAGTTCCAGCTCCTTCTGTTCTTCTACACTGCCACGCTTAGCATGGGGCTCTTGTCTTCCGGTTTGTTGCCTAATGATTGTGGTCAGCTTTTCTGTCTCTAGCTCCATATGCATATGCCATCCTGGAAGAAGTGCCCAACTTGTTTGCTTTTGAGTCTAACTTTTTTGTTTGAAAAGGGATGAGTTTCTCTAAAGATTTTCTTCTGCATCTCTTGGCCAGAACTGGATCTCAGGGCCCTAGCTGCAGGGGAGGCAGGGAAGGAGAATATTTTCATTTCAGCCCACTTCCATACTGAACGGAATTAGGGTTACGTGAGAAAGAAAAAATAAGGGAATATATGTTTGCTCTATCTATCTATTTTTTTTTTTTTTTTGGTTGGAGAGGTTGGGAGTGAGTGGGAATGGATAGTAGTGATTGAAAATCACTTAAACCAAACATTGAGTTGGGATAGACTGCTGAGGAGGGCACGAGGACACTGTACTTGGGTGTGTGCTAATGAATGAGGAACTACATGGGTCTACCTGGGCAGGGCTCACTGGCAACTAGCATTGAAGGGCAGGAAGAGCTAAGTGGTGGAATAGTGGTGAGAGGTTATGGAAGCAAGTTGGAGTCCAGTCAGGAAATGGCCAACACCAAGAGGAAATGCCAGAGTTTATGGGGTGTATTTTTAAAAGTCATGTCAAAAAAAAATAAAAAATAAAAGTCATGTCAAATAGTCAAGGTGGCTTCTGGAGGCTAGCCTTTACCATCCAAGAGGTAGTATCTTGCCCGTCTTAAAGTGGCCTTGTTTGCAAGTTGCCCACTAATATAACTCAGCATGTCCCAGGAAACTGTCTGCTGTTCACAAGAAAGCCCCACATGGTGCTAGTTTTCTTTTTTTAAATGTAGATTATCGCAGGAGCAATACATGGTGCTGGATTTTGAGCAAGAAGACCATAGCTCCTAGGGAGATTATGCTGCATTCCGTTGCTTGCAGAACAGGCATTTTGGAATTATTTGTCCAGCCACTAATCACCTTCACTTTTTCCTTGTGTCCCCTGTAAAGAGCTTTAGGCTTTTGCAGAAATGCTGGCAAGTCACCAGGCGGCACCCTTGTGACCACAGAATGGCAGGCTTCCTGGGGCCTTGGTCTGTGACTCTGCTCTCCTTAGCCCCATGTTCAGGCCATCAGTGTCACACAGAAGGACGGTAGAGTTCACTGCTACAGGAGCTGCTTGCTAGAGTGGGAGCTGGGGTTGTGGGCATCCAGCCTGCTGAATGCATCAGAGCTGGAACTCTGATATGCACAGTGGGGCTGTTTCCCAGAGCTGGACTGCCCATCTCTGGGCTGGTTAGGGTCTGTCCTGTGGAATAATGTGTGGAAGTGTTGACCCTCGGCTGGGTTCAAGGATGGCCAATGAAGTCAAAGTTGAGGAGGAGAGTCCAGTCCAAAGGAAAAAGCAGAGAAGATCCCGAAGCCAAAGTGGAGGAAGATCAGAACCCTTGGGGGCTGAGACGGAATGGGTGCTAGGCTCTAGAAGCCAAAGTCCTGAGACAGTCAACTTGGGTGGCGGTGGCGGCTGCTAGTGGGCCAGCTGTGGAAAGGTGCTGGGGGAAGGTGTTGAAACGCATAGGTTTGGTTCTTCCAGTATGAGGCTTGTCTGACGATGGTGGCCTGATGCTGCCACTGTGGAAATGAGGCGCCTGTCCCAGTGTGCTTGGAATCTCTCTAAGGGGATTGTTGAGAGTTCTGCCATGACTAGGGAAGTGCTTTCTAATCTGTTGGGTGCAAGGTATTGTCTGAACGCTATCTGCCTCCTTTCCATTGTTTAAAATGGAGACATTTCCTACGTGGTGGCTCCTGGGAGAGATGTTAGGAGTCTAAATGAGATTATGCAGTTCTTGGAATTCCACTGAGGAAATAGCTTTGCAAAGTCATTGTATTGTTATTCATGACAGGTGTGGGTGAGCCGCCGAAAACTCCAGCTACTCCCCAACCTTGCAAACCGTAAAATTAGACTTCTTATACTGTGCACAGTAATTCTCTTTCTTACAGTAGAAACCACAAACCAATTTTGCCTTACAGAAATGCGCTCTCATCCAAAATTTTGGTACACATTTTAAAGACTGGCTCAGTTTTACTGTGAAGTTACAACTGAGCAAAATGATACCATCAAAGAAATGTGTTTTACATACAGGACCATGCATGTTTAATATTAATATGCTCACCAGGAGCTAATTATGAAGATCATCAATCCAATAACTTTCTTTTTCATA